AAAAAAAAAAGTTTAGAATGTGGAAATAACTTTGTTAATCTTGCAATTTCCAAATACTTCAATTTTAACATTTAAGTGATTTAAGTGCAAGTAATGTCTCAGTTTTTGTAAAGTCAATGATGCATAGTTTGAAATGAGACTAAGATAAACTAGAACTATCTACCAAAACAAAAAAAAACAAAAAAAATACTGGTTTAAAGCCCTTTTACTCAGAGAAGGAAGAATTTAATCAGCCTAATTCATAGGTAAACTATAAAGTTTAATTTGTTCATAGAACAAACAAGATTTCCTGTGCAAATTCTCAAGAATTATAGTTATCATGTTAGACTGCTATCTTTGTTCTATATTTGTTATTTCGTAGTGTGTAACATATTAAAACCTTGGTTTCCATGCTACTGCAGTGTGATTCATATCTTGTGGTTAAAAAAAATGGCTTTTGTTTCCAAAATTTCAGCTCTGAGAAAACATCTGCTGAAATGTAGATAGTTTGTGGTGTGTGGATTAAATATGCATATTATAGCCTCCTCCAGTATGAGTGACATATCACAAAGCATGTGACAACATTTTTCACAATTAGCACTTGAGTAGACACATCACCCACTAATGTAAGATCTATTTTTTTTTTTCTACTTAGAAAGAAAGCTTTCATGGGATATTTGCACGTGTATGATTTGCATCATTTCCAGGTTGTACATGTATACATTACTTTTTTTGCAGGATGAACTATTCCTGTCATTTAAAATGATATAATCACAACTATTATTCCATAAAATATAATTGTTTCTATTACACAAAAAAATAGGCTCTTTACTATAGCAAGAAGCACTTGTTCAGCTGGAAGTCCAGGTTCAAGTCCTAAGAGCAGAGGGTTTTTCTTATTGAAATGCAGTTTATTGGGCTGAAAAAGGAACTGCATAATGTTACAACAGGAGCACTCATTGGCAGAAGTTTCCAAATATCATTCACATAGCTAGGCCAGAAATCTACGTTTTTGTTTCCCTATGCTTCTCTACACCCTTTCTCAAATGAGGATGAATTCTATAAAGAGCAGAAGATTTCCATCTTTTCTGCTAGATACTCTTTGATGCCCCCAAAATATTCACCTTATCCTCCCCTATCCTTGATAGCTTGGGGAATTCAGTTAGATAAGAAATGGAACTTTTTTCTTACCTCACCTCATATTTCTAACTTCAAAGCAGCCCAGACCTGCACTGGTGTCCTGAGTGACAGATACAGGACCACCAGCAAGCTGCCTAGAAATTCACCTGCACTATGTGGAGAGGAGATGGAAACAGCTGTTTCTCACTCCGTATACACGGAAAATTTGTTTTGTTCACTACTAGCAGAACACCAATATTCCTGGAGAAATGGTATTATTGTTTGCGCTATATAGTGGTGGATTCTGATGGGCTTCCTGGAATCAATCTGGGGCTGAGACAATGTTGTAAATTTGCTTTGTGACATGGAAGGAAACATCCACAAAGTTTTGGTGTGAGAATTTTCACATGACACAGGTAAACCTTTCACTTGTGATGATTTTGAAAATCAGGCTGCCTTAGTTGGATCGCTATATGCTCTTATCTTCCCAGCAACTTCAACATGTTTGTATTTAATGTAAAAAAAAAAAAAAAAAAAAAAAAAAAAAAGGTTCTAAAGGTATTAATACAATGTTTTCTAGGATTTTTAGTATTCATAAAAGAAAAATATTTAAAGAAAGCTTTTTTTTGGCTTTGTTTTCTTTTCACGGTAGGCATCATCATCTCCCCAAACAGCTGCTGTTACTTGCTCAGTTAAGGGCTTTCCAGGTTTTTGGATGAATAAGAAATACCGTCAAAATGTTTTTATATTCTTCTTCAGTCTTGATTTTGAGTTACCAGAACATTTTTTCCTGACAATTGCTATAACATAAGAAATTGGTTATATTTCAGTCCTGTTTCCAGTGCATAAACAGCATAGTACATCACTGACAGAACTAAGAGAAAACAATCCCTCCAAGGTCTTTTAGCTGTCATGTCAGCCAGCAAATGTAGAAGAACAGGGAAGAATGAGCTAAACTTTCACCTACCAAACTAGAAGCAGATCACCATGTAGGAGCTTGTATTGCTGCTTGCTGTGTAACACCTGTTTTGCAGAAAAAGAGAAGCCCCCAAGTTCACAATTGTAAAGACTCCAGTGTTGGCTCATTCTCCCACCTGTCAGAAAGCCTGTTTGCAGTCATGCTGAAGACAATTCTTAATCTGGGCAGAGAGAAAACTAGAAACCCCTTACAAAATACTTAATACCAAAGATTTCTTCTTCTATGTACGCGTATAGTTTTTGGGCATGTACATTGTTTCCTCCAAATTACTTGATACTTTATTTAAATGGCACAGATATAAACCAGTTGCCTGACTGTCACCTGAAAGGGTAGAAAGCATAATGAATTGCTTTAAGATTATCATTTGTTCCAGTGAAACCTGAGTGTTGTGGTTGCAATGAGAAGTTTAACTGCTTTAGGGAAAGCACTGGGCACCCAGACTGATAATGAAGGGAGGGAGAGGTATGCTTCACTGCAGTGATTACAGCCAGCAAAAACCTGAAAATATTTTCTCATATCATATACCTCTATTTGTTGTAGCTATTTAAACTGTATTAGCTAGTTCATTTACTTAATTAATCAAAAAGCTTATAATGAATGGGAAATTTGCTTCTTGCATAGTGAAAGTGAAAAGAAAGGGAGAGGAACAGTGAAAATTTGTATTTACAGACCATTATCTTCCTGCCACAAATTTTTCATTAGGAAATGAGCTGGGAGATGTTTAACCATTTCCTAAGCATCTCTAAAGGTAAAATCTCTGCACCTTGAAAAAAAACAACAGCAAGATGAGCCATTTACTCAGAGACTCTAATAGTTCCAGTCAGTAATAGTAAGCACTGTAGAAATAAAGCCTTCTTCACTATCTATACATTTTCTAAGTCTAAACAACACAAAGGCAAATCTCCATAAAATACATCTTTTAAGTGGCTCCCTTCAAATTCTTCACATGATCTATCCTGAGTGAATTCTCAGAAGAAAATAGTGTGTTAGCTCCTAGCACAGTTACAAATTTCACTGTTTATAAGCATTCCTCAGTAGTTATTACGGCTAGCATTCTGTCTGTTTTGTTAGGTATACCAAGCAATTGCACTGAAACTATCTAGGAGGGACAGATAATGCTGCAATGCTTGCAGCAGACTTCACTCTAGGTAACTGGGTATTCATCCTATCAATGTACACACATGTGTAGCTGTCTCTTTTTCTGTTTCTTCAGCCTTACTCATTTAACACCAATGTCACAGCTCCTCCTCCTATCAAACAACAACAAAACAACAAACAAACAAAAACAGTCATATGCACATGCTGTCCTTGCTCTACATACCATACAAAATACAGTTGAAAAGAAATTTTGCCCCCAAATCTTTTTTTTTTTTTTTTTTTTTTTTTTTTCAATACAGGAAAAAGTTATACCTCTTTCACAAGAAAAGAGAGAGAAAAAATGTGGTTGAAAGTGGCACTTTACTCATATTTAAATAACATTTTAAAATCAGTGTTATATGTATAGATAACACATGGTATGACAGCTTGTCCACAGGAAATCTCAACTTTGTTTCTTAATTATAAAAATGTAAATGCAAACTACATTCTAGATTTTAGAGAATATGAGACTATGAGACATAATATATAAGCTCACATATCCTAGCTTTTTTTTTTTTTTTTTTTTGTCTACTTCCTACTACTGAACTACTGAAAAGAGAAATGTGGATTCTGTTTGGTAAGCAGCTTGCTGGTCAGACTGATGTATTTAGCTACGATCCTAAGAGACTATTTCATCATAGGTTACAACTTTCCCCAGCATTGTGTCATGATTTTCTCTAGCTATTTTTCTTTGACTACTTTTTTATAGTTTGGAATGGAGTACACTTTCATGGAGTTTGTAGGAGTATCACGTACATTTTCTTGGTATTAGACAGCAGTACTAGAACACTTTTGAACTGAGATGCTCGAAGAAAACAGCTGTGGAGTAAAATGGGTGTTTCCCTGTTCTCAGATATTTCAGTAGGCTGAACCTACAATCATATATGCCTGTTACCTCAGTGGGACTGCTCTTGTATGGAAGTGATCAGATATTCTTAACAGGGAACCTCCCTTGGAAAGGGAACTGGTGGTCTGATCAGCATAACACATGCTGTCTTTAAATGCAAGTGTGACCTCATCTGAAGCCTTTTATGGAACTTACGCCATTGGTGGCATTTTTAGAAGTCATATTTCCTTGGTTGTTTCTCTTAATTCATATACACATGACTGCTAACAGTCTTTGGTTATTCAATTTTAAAAGATTAAAAAAATAAATAAATCTTGGTAGACATGGGGGAAGTCGTGGAGGAAAATGATTCATTTAGTTGCTCTGTGTGGGTGTGTGAGCCTATGGATTTAAAAAGCCACAAGAGCACAGAAAGATATAGTGGGAGGAGAAATTGCACTGAAGATTTTGTCAGCTTCTGAAGCAACGGGTTTAGTTTCAGATCTATATTTCAGTGAGAACTCAGTATTAGAACGCAAACACAATTTTTCAGTCGTGGTTGGATTTCCGTCATTTTATCTGATTAACAAATATAGTAACGTCTTGTCTATCAAGTGGTTGAACATCTCTGTGGTATAAATGTCAAGAAATGGAAGAATTTTCAGTTTTTACTTCAAAGCTGATATGCCTTAGTGTTCACACTGCCAGAAACAATAAATTAGATGTTTAAGTTAGACAAATGAATGGATCAAGAGAGTAAGCCTTAAAACATTACTAGGCTGCTTTGGTCTGAAATACATCCAGGCGAGTGCACACTGTGCAATGACAGTGATTTTTTAAAAGGGAAGGGTGTGGAGGGAGTTATCAGCCACCTTTTTAGAGATAACCTTTCCTTTCTCAAAGAAAAGGCTTTTAAATCATCAGACATTTAAATCATCAGCACTCAGCTGGAGAATGAAAGGCATGAACTGCCAGTCTAATAGCATCTTCCAACCTGGATAAGAAATAAAGGCTATTGGACTGTTATTCAGGGGACTCATTGAGCAGCAGTGAATAGTTAAACTAATTAGCTTGCTTTCTTATTGGTGGAAAGGTGTCAAGAAGGGCAAGGCTATTAACCTGGCACTGCAGGCATCTGAGCAGTATCCTTGTGCTTTTTACTGTCATTGGGCCCAGCTGGACACCCAGAAAAAAAAACAGCTGGCATATAAAAGCCTAAGCTGACAGTTCCACTATCTTTAGTGAGAGTGGTAATGGCTAGTTTGTAAGGGTGTAGCCTGCCAGGAGAGGATAGACACTCAAGAAAGGCTCTGCCTTTATCAGTATCAGTAGATTTCAGTATTCTCAATGGGCTTATGAGGAAGCTGGCTCTTTATTAAGCCACAGGTGAGATTTTTATTTTATTTTGTTCTAAAGAGTCTCTAGAGAATGCCAAATTGAAATGCTAACACCAAAATAAATATGTTTTGCTGAAATATAGCAGACCTCCATGTCAGCGTGGTGGTGCTGACTATAAATCTGCCTTAAAAGACTAATTTCTTCAGCTCACTATACATCTACTGAAATATACATCTTAAATAAACAATAACTAGTCCAAGAACAATAGCAGAATGTTTTTGTGCGTGTGCTTCTTGTTTTTCTTTTTCCCTTTTTTCTTTAATATAGTTGTAAAGAAGGAAATCTTATAAGCAAATGATTCTCTTTCTTTCTAAGTCTGGCTATACTGCGAGCAACAGGAGTTATTACTGATCCCTGATTCTGTCGAGAGGTGAGCAAGGAATTCCCTCTATGTTGAAGGAGGGCTCTGGTTTACAAAACAAGGCCTGCACTTCTCCCTCATGAAGCACATCAAGTCCCCAGCAGAGGGAGCTTGCCTGAGTGCTCAGGAAGGTAAACCAGGCATTTGTGCTAGGAAGGTTTGGCTGCAAGAAACATCCTGCAAGTATTAGCTGAGGATAGTTTCTCTCTGTTAGGCCCAAATAGCCTCTTAACACCAGCAACCATAGTGGTGCAAGCTAACCTTGACAATTATAAAATAATGAATGGCCTTGCTCCTGGCTCTTAGATATCCTAAAGTAAAAAAAACAAAAAACCTATTTTTCAGCTATCAGTGAATTACAATTTTGATTCACTCACAATTTTAGGGGTAGCTTGAGGGCTTCAGATGTGGATTTGGAGATCAGCTGAAGAAGGCTGTCCCCACATACTTGCCTCTTGTTTTAATTTTTTGGTCCTTGTGTATGAGAAGCTGCTGACTGCATATGGTCTGACAGGATAGAAATACTGCCCTCTCTTTTTGCTCAGCAGGGTTAACATCTGAGGAAAAATAGCCTTTTAACACCTATTCAATACAAACAATTAGGGGAATGTTCTGTGCCTGCTGATGGAGGTGGTAGATGTTTCCGTGAAAAGCTCACCAGACCAAACATGATCCCTTATTTGCTTAAGAGGCAACTACGTTAGAGGCTGAGCTGAGGAACAGACTGGAGTGCAAGAAGGTAGGGAACTTGCTCTTGCTAAAGGCCAAAGGAGCCTGGTAGGCTTATTTGTAGGGTTATAGTTCTGTGTATTTCCATGTACAATGGAGGAAATAAATGAATAATAATAATAATAAAAAAAAAAGTAGCCAGAGCTGTTGCAAAAGGAAATTGACATGGGGCACTAGAATAGGCCTGCAAAGATTCTATAACAGATTTAGGAGCACAAAATTATTAGTGGGTCAGGCTCTCTAAATTTTCAGTGCCTGCAATTAAGGAAAACATAAGGTCATGTTTTCAATTTACAATTTGTTCCTTGCTGTTTGGCATTGCTGATGATACTTAAGTAATGGTTCTTAGAATAATTTACTCATCATGTTCAGATTTGGCTCAAGACTTCTTTTATATTTGTATACATTTAGAGTCGCCCATGTCTAGAGTTTGTTAATTAGAGCTTTTGAATCTGTCCTCATCAGCATTGCAAAGATAGTTTTATTTAAAATAACAGTAGGAACATAATAAACAAAGAGGAAAATAATCAAACACAACTGTCTTTAAACCATCCCACATCATGTTATATTGGATATATCACATAGAAAAGAGTGATTCTTTTATGGCAGTGAAAACCAAATGCATTCGACTCCTTATTGGAAAGATTAATCAAATTGTATCATGTTGCTGCCTTAATCCCATTAGGATTTAAAGAACATTAGTTTATTCACAGCATTCTTTCATCTAACACAAAACAAAACCCTGTATTAAAGTGTTATTCAGAGTCTCTTTAATATTGTAGATCCCAACGTCCATGTTTCTCACTCACACTGAAAATAACTCTTAAATATATTTCTAGAAAATTAAAAATAACTTTTTTCTACTTGTCATATAAATAATACTGCATTAACAATCTCAGTTTTTGTCTTCACTAAGATGGATATATTTTCAGTTTATCTGCATGCTAAAGTTTTGGAAAATGATACTTAATTCTGTTCAATCATATTTCTAGTGATGCCTCTCTTGTGGTTCCCCCTTTTCCCAGGAGCCTCATATTTTAGCTTTTCCATATTGTTATCAACACAGAATCTTTCTCAGTCCCCAGAAGGCTTGGTTTTAAGCCACTTGTTTCCAGTGTGTTTCAAATCTTTGCCCACAATATCATTCCATGCCATACAGAGCAGCTATTCACCAGATGCCAGATGCATTAAGTGCTCTTCAGTTGGCTTCTTTCCTCAGGATTACTAATTTCTATGCCAAACTAATTTCTAATTTTTGGACACATAGCTGCTGATTGTGCTGTTTCCTCAGGGCAGTTGTTACTGGAAACAATCCCAGATGTCAGTGAGTACTATCACAAAACTTTTGAAAAAGTTTGTATCCTGTGATAATCCTGTGAAAAAGTGATGTATCCTTTCTCACTATCCTGGAATTTTTAAGAGTGAACAACTAAACCTCAGTGCAAATAGGTAACAGTAGAACCCAGAAATTGATGCAGAACTGAAGTGTAATTTTCAGAAACTACTACAGCTATGTTTCAACAACTGGTTTTACATCCTAAATAATATTAATTTAGTATTGTTTTTCCAGACTTTAGGTATATATGACTATGTAGGCATATTCTGAGGACTGATCTTGCTTGTCTACTTTGATTAGGCTTCTTGGCACGTTTTCTCAGGAGGAGATGAAACCAGACCTAAAGCTCTATCACTGTTGTGAGGTTGCTCTGTAGCTGAAGTGTGGAGGAATGGGTACGTGAAGTAGGTCATGTGGATGTTGAGCAGCTAGGAGGCCGCGAGGTAACAAAGTATCGAACACAGCTCAAATGAGCCTGAGAAAATACGTAAATGCAGCCTGGGAAGGAATGTAAGTTCTGGGAGGTTTTAGGGAGGTTTCAGGGAGGTTTCAGGTACAAGAACGTGATATCTGTTGGTATGCTGGGAAAGTTCTAACTGTGTTATTTTGGTGGGAAACTAGCTGATAGAATAGAGAAATGCACTAACCAATCATGAGCTTAGCTTTTGCAATATGTATGAGCTAATTATATTGAATTAGATAAAAGACGACTGAGCTATCCAATAAATGGAAGTTCACTGATCACTCATATTGAGCGTCTGTGTCTTCCTTCCGTCGACAACAAATGTTTTCGCAACACTGAAGTGTCCACAGCTGACAGAGTGAGGATTATAGTACGTTTTGGGAGATATAGGAGTGCAGTGTGTAGATGGGCCTGCTTAGTGTAAAATGCTATATATCTCATAAAGAGGAGGTGTCTCATGCAGGGAGAGATACCAGTAGCATTAGCCTCCATTGGTATGTATATACTACAATGCTGCATTTAATTACATGATCACATGCTGTCTTACTCCATAGCACTCTGTCTTCACTCCTAGCTCTTAATAATTACAGCAGGAGGACTTAAGGTTTCTCAGACTACTGTATGTTCCAGAATTGAGTTTCTTGTTTAAAGTAAGCTAAACTTTGTTTTTGCACGTAGTAATAATGATAGATGACAAAATTATCTTTGGTAAATTACAAAAATACATTCAAGTAGCATGCTAATGCCAACAATATATTTTCTAGGATTCTTCTTTCCTGTTCTTCTCTAGGCTGATCAAAAGCCTCTTACTAACTGCCTCATATCCTACAGCAGATGTTTTGCTGATCCTTTTCTCAGAGAAAACAGAACATAAAAGCAAGTCCTCCCCAGGAGCACAATCTGATCCCTTTAAAGGCTTACTATAAGCTTCCCTTCTGAAGGATTTCATGGGAAGCCACCTGAGAGGAGAGTGTACCTCTGATGTGCAGGGAGCTTTCTCTGGAGGAGTGCTGGTCACAGTGTGGTGCTGGGGAGTCTGCTGTCTCTCTTGCTGCTTCAGTCAGGAACCACATGGAAGTACGAGGTAAAGGCCAGAACGTCATATTTGACAATGTTCACATAGCAAAGAGAACATACAAAAGCCCCACTGGTGATTTACGTGCACACCTGTGTTGGGTAAATCATTGAATAATTCCTAATACAAGGATCAAAGTACAGGTTGCCAAATACAAACATTGTTCACTTTCACTTCTGTCTGCATTTTAAGTCATATTGCAGGAGATATTCTTCCCATATTAAATATATTTTAGGCTATCTTAGATATTATTTTTGTATCTTTCAAAACCTCTCTGGTAACTACACCGTACCTTAGCATAGTGTTGGATTCTCTAATATACAGTCAGTCCCTCCTGTTTCTATCTCTTAGCCTAAAGAAACTTCATTTAATTCTATATGCTGGTTATTCTGTTTTAAGGCCTGGCTTCCTGATGCTAATGGAAAGGTTACAGCTGTTGAGTCTTCTTGCTGCAAGGCCTGTAAGATTGACTGCTTCCAACCTTTCTGGACATGGAGGGGGAGGAAGAGAACTCAGCTTCCTCTTTCTTCTGTTTCTTATCAAAAGACAGAAGACTTGGGGGGTGGTTAAAGAAATGTCTGGTTTGCACTTTGTTGTCATGACAAGCTAAATGACTAAATAATCAAGACATTGCATTTGCTGGTGAAATTCCTGAGAATTTGAGATCAATATCTGTTTAGTAAAATATATAAATAAAACCACATACATACTATTTTTCTATTTTTTTCCCAAAGGCAAATGAGTGTATGATCAGTTGTCCTGGGTGGAGGTGCTGTCTGAATTAAGAAACTTAGAAGGGTCTCATGTGAGGGGAAAAAAGATTGTTTTAGATTTTCAAAGCTGCAATAAATATCATTAAATACAGATAGGCCTTAGCCATCTACTTTTGTTTTGCATGCCAGCTTCTTTTGAGCCACTGTCTGGGTTACAGTCACTAAACTTGAAGGGTTTTTTCACCCCTGGTTTTCAATGTGTGCAGGTGCTGAGGGTGTTTGTATAGCAGGTTTGGATCTCAGTCTTTCTTCTTTTTGGAAACTGCTATTTAGAAAAATCGGAAAAGAAGGCCTTTTCTGTGATCCAATTAACACTTAGACTCAGAAATCTTTTCAAAGTTAGGAAAAGACTGCCTATAATTTAGAAGTGTATCATTCACTTTGTCTCTAAACATCAGTTTTCTTAAATTTAAATTAGGCAGTTGTCTAATGTCATTTTGCACACCAGCCATAGCAATTTGTTGATTTTTCTTGTGAAATCAGCTGACTGGTATATCTTAATTATTGTTAACATTGCTCTTATAGTAAAGCAAAAAAAGTAAACCTGAACTGAGCAGACTTGTCAGTGCTGCCAGTGTACTTCTGTGTGTATGCTATGTGAAAAAAGACAAGGAAATTCTGAGAATGAAGAAGTCTGACTAGGTCCAGGAAACCTCACTATTCTTCCTCTTTTTCTTTCTATTTGCTTGGTTTCCCTTGTTTCAGTGCAAATAATAAAATGAGCAAATGTATCAAGTTGAGTGAAGGAATGACTATTTATAGTCACACCCCTATTTTTTTCCACTCCCCATTACAGAGTAAAGCAGTTAACAGAACTGAAGTCTTAAAACAATTAGCAGCATTTGGCATCAATTTGGCATTACAATCACTATAGATGAAATACAGTAGTTTTATGATAGATGCTGAAATGGGACAGGCTAAATTTTCATTTTGAAGAAGATGTAATTCCCCAGCATTCGCTGCTTTTACTTTAACCCTCAAGAGATACCTGTGGCATTATCCTTATACCCTCCCATCAGCCTTAAGACTATTGTTTCATGCCTTCATTCAATATTTTCCAAACTGTTTAATGCAAAAAAAAAAAAAAAAAAAAAGCCCATATTTCTGCTTCTGTCTGGAATAACCTTTAAGTCCAATACTTCGCCTGGATATTAGACTTTATGCCTGTTGCTAAAATGTCAGTGAAAAGAGAAAGCGGTGTCCCGTTTGGTGATGGGAAGTGGTTGAACTTGGTCTCACCACCCAGTCAACTCAAAACGTCTGCATAGGTTTCTTCTTTTGTGAACTGTGAGGCTCCAGAAGTTTTCCCTGAAATAGGAAGCACTATGAGTCAGATGTATTTTTGCAAATGTCAGTTCATCAAGTCATATAGCTGTGAAACCATACACATGGGTTTCACTTTCCCACAGAATTATTTGCGCACACAAAAACCTACACAACTACATCATGACATGCTGAATTGCTCAGGTCTGTTGATAACTCTAGTTTTGTTTTTTTTTTTTTTTTTTTTTTTTTTATTAGGAAGCAGATTATGCAAAACCAAGTAAATACAGCAAACTCAGAAGGTGCACTGGAATAAGAAATATGCCTCATTTCCAATAACCTGAAGTACTGTAGATAGGCAGGAAATGTTTGACATTTGAAATTGTCATACTGGAACTGGTCTTTTATAATAGGAAAGTAAATGGGACTCACTTAAGTAAACTTAAGAGAACTTTCTCATGAAAAAAATCAGATTCAAAAGATATGGAATTATTTTTAATACATGTAATATTTCAATAGAAAAAAAAAGGGAGGGGGTGAAGCAATAATTAACTGTTGGTATTAATGCAAATATTAGTCCTTATGAGTCTACAAAGTTATAGCACACATTTATACGTAGAAAATCTTTCCCTTTTAAACTAAAGGCATGCTGCATTTTCATGGGGGATTTGACAGTACACCCAGAAGTTGCCTTGGGTTTAAAAAAGGCAAACAGACCTACTGACACAGTGACTTTCCCCTCCCCCTAGAAAGCATTATTACTTTTACTGGATTTTTTTTTGGCAGATAGGAAAAAATTAAGGAACTGTTTTTTTTTTTTTTTTTTTTTTCATTATTTCTTATTTGAAAATCATTGATAACTTATTTTAATTCAAATATTTTTGAAACTGCATCTGATTATTTAGGGTTTATAGAGGATAGTACGTATGGTCCTCCTATGCTGTAGATTCTTGCAAAAGGAAAAGTTCATTCATGCTTTGTAAATATATTTTTAGTGCCTAGAAAGTTCTCTTGGACAAATATTTTTGTGTTACACAATTTGCTGACACTTTTGAAATCCACTTAAGGTAGTTTATAGCTTTGTCTACTTTGGGGTATTTATACATTGTAGTTTATATGATCATGAGTTACACCTCACATGTGGAGGACCACATACAGTTGTTAGGTTTAGCACTGCTATATAAAGCATTAAGCTTATTACACCCAAAAGAATTACATTACGCTGAGGCAGTTTGTGTTTTGTGATTACATGTTACAAAGGAAGACAATTGTAGGAGCTAAAAGTGGGAAGTGAACATCGTTAACAGTAGTACATCATAATTAAAGAAAAATATTTGGTTAATTATTTTCATTACATCTTTTCCCTTTTGTTTGGTCCATTTGCTTTTCTCATGCAATGTTGTTTGACTTCTGGATGGTTCAAAGCATCTAAGTTGATTGATCTTCTCAATCTTATTTCAGTGTTTATACTCGTGTTCCTGTGTTCACAATATGCATCAGAAATTCTGGGTTTTTCAATTTCTTCCAAAAGTTAAAATTATAGACATCTTAATTTAAACTTAATTGAAACCAGGTTTCATTCATGACTGTTTATATTTCACTAGCATTATTTTTATTTGAAGCAAATGGAAAACCTAATTGTTTTCTAAATGCTGAAGTGAGAAGACTACTGAAGCAGTGAGGGAACACATGGGACAAATCAATAAATTCCTGCAGAAACAGGTCAATCAAAATCGGCCCCTTGCCTTCAGATACAGAGGCAGTTGAGGTATCATGGGCAGACTTCACAGTATGGATATTTACAGCTTTCTGAAGACTAGAAAAACAAAATTTGATGAGCATTTTCATCTCGGCATAATTTAGCATAGTTATTCCTCCAAAGGTTTTAATACCTCTTAAGAGGAATGATCCTATCAACATAAAGGGGTCATAAGGATTGCTGCATGATCAGATTAACCTCTCTTCTACTCCATTGCTTCCAAGCTTTAGGTCAGTTCTGTTTGATTTCGGAAATAGTTTGTGTTGTTTCCTGGCTACTCTTTCCTTTTTGTTGTCATTATACAATACATGTTTACTTGTTACTATGATTTTATATTATTAGTTATTGTCCTATTCCTACCGCATAGCCTGGTTCCACTGGGATTGTGTCAGTGCTATATTCTAGCTTTGTTTTTTGTAATTTTTACAACTACCTACTTTTTTAGTAGCTATAACACGAGTTTATGCTTTAATAATAATCTTTCTTCACAAACTGAGACCAAACACCACTTGTTAACAATAAGGCTGTTTGCATTATTTATGCTAAAAATCTGAGCCTCCTGAACTACACCTGAAGCCTAGGGATGTATGAATTTATGAATCCCAGCTCACTCCTACAGAGCTTTTGAAATGTTTGCCAAAGTGGCTGATGGGAAGGATTTGGATTTCCTGCTGCCATCTGAAATTCCTTATGACAGCCCCTAAAATCCCATGCTTTCTCACTGCCTCTGGCCCTCCAAAGCCTTTAAACACTGGTTATTGGAGGCCTTATGGGGAGAACTGACAGAGGAGATTGACTTTGTTTCACTCAGAGGTGAAAATATGGAATAAAAGCAAATGGGTGTGACAGCATTTTGCTTAGTAAGGGTGTGTACAGTATCTTTATTGTTCAGGAACTATTTATTAGTTACTTAAATTAGTAGTATTATCTGTATGCTTGCTTGCAGCAAAACCACATAAAAGTAATAATTCCTTAAAAGCAACATTTCCATGGGAGCTCTTCTCATGCTTTGCGTTGTAACCCATCTAGTAACAACAGCTCTTCAGGAGCAATTTGGCACCTGGACTTCAATATGTTGCTACTGGGGTTTGCTCTTTTGGTTATCTGTATTGTGTTAATTGTTTTATTTGTATTTGTAATGTGGTATTTTAGGAAACATAGTTTATTCTGTATTTGCTAGATTTCAAGCTGAATGTTCAATTTAATTCTGACTCTTCAAGATGACTTGTAATTCACATCTATTATTATACAGAATACAAATGGATGCCTATTTACTTCTGTTTCATAGCTTCATATGGAACAGGTAGTACATGGAAAGTGTCAGAGTGTGTATGTGAAATTTGAGCCTGTATTTTGTTGAATTCATTATGCAAGGTAATGTATAAACCCATAACAAATAGCAAATCTGCATCAATTTTGAACAGAGCATGATGCAGTATGATGCAGATGAGCTTCATTTATTTCAGCAAATGCACTGAGCATTAATCCTGACCTTATTTCAACTGACATTAAGAAGCACTACAATGCTTTTTTAAAGTGTTTGCTTCAGAGGCTGGAAATATTAACCATGCCTAAATGAAGGATTTATTTTCTGGAAAAGAAATTTGGACATAGTGTTGATTTTTCTGGCAAGTCTGAATTTTTGCTGTTTCTGCTCAATCCAAATAAATTGCCCTACATGCAACTTAGGTACTTATTTTTTTCTCTAGAAATAGAAACACTTCAGCCTGAATTATAAGAACAGCTTTCAACTTGCATACTACACCTGTAATTTTCCACTTTCCAATTCACTGTTACTGTTGTCTTCCAATTTCAGCCTCTGTTTTTTACTAATACAGTAAGAGTCACAATAAATGAAACTGCATGTGAGCACTGTCTTAAGAACTATCCACAAAATAAAAATGTATTTTGTAATCATGTGTAATAGTACTTTCCATGTTAACTTATACCTTAGATATCTTGAAGAATACAGTTTAATTTCAGTAAGAAAGCAAATAAAGAAGATACTTCTACTCAACTTTTTTTTTGCTTCTTTTGCTCTTTTTCCTTGTTTTCCCTGTGCCTACAAAACATCCGCATTCATGTGGGGTTACATGAATGTGTTTTTGTGCAGTGTACAGCTGCAGAAGAAACAAAATACATTCTGATGACGGGTGATGTAGGTACTTTCAATGACTAATGGGTTTAGCTTTGTGTTGTTGTTTGCCTGCTCAAAAGCTAAGAATTAGATAAAAGAAAGCAGTAAAGGAAGAGTGTTTTTTTTTTTTTTTTTTTTTTTTTTAAAAAAAAAAAAAAGGCAAAACAATGGTACAATCTCTTCATACCTCTTCAAAGCTCCAGAGAAAAATTCTTGTATGTTGGTTGTATTGGTGTAAGAATGCTTAGGAGGAATGCAACGTACAGAAGTCAGTAAGCTTGGGATCAAAGGAAACAGCAAATCTCAAGAATCTGTCAAGTAGGAGGAAGTTTGAAAAGAAAGGAGAATCCATCAAAAGTGTGCCACTTTTATCTGCTTAAAACAAGTTGATTGTTTTCTTTTCAGTGTGTGATTTGCCTATAAAATTGAATTTTCAAAGATATAGGTTGAACCCTTGTGTATAGATTTTTTTTTAACTTCTCCTAAATGTTTTTTGCCTTGCATGAAATAATATATATTTCTGTCCCTTCTAAAGCCCTCTGTCAGGGCAAACTTGCCATGACAAGTTCCCACAAGGAAAGTCCTGTAGGGTCCAAATATCACTTGAAATTCCTGACTGAGCCATGATTGCTGTTTGAGACTGTTACCTGATTGCTGGTCTGAGTGACTGGCTTGCAGAATACTGACTTTAAAGGCATAAAAGCTTGAGCATCTGTACAGCTGGTAGTACAGGTGGCTGCTCATCAAAGCAGTGAGAACCACTGGCTTTTTTCTGAATCCTGT